GCATTCATTTTCCTTTAGGCCGCCGACTAATGTATGCGCCTCAGTGGCGATCATTACTGTCAAAAAAATGTCCCACTAGCTAGCTAGCCGTATAGGAATTTTCATTTGTAAATTGAACTTGCGATACAAAGCTAAAGCTACCGCCTCTTCAGTTTTGCTTTTGTTTTATCGAATAAGAGATATACTTGTCATTTTCAGTTGAAGCGTACGAAGTCATGTTTGCGACAGCTGCAGACGTTGGTGCAAACGATGAAATCGGCGTATGATGTGAGAAGCCCGGCCGCATGTCCAACATTCGACTGGATGGGCAAGGAAATGTTGATTGCGCTGACCTATCTCCTTACAGTCATACAAAGCATACAAACATGTCAGATTGATAGGTTTGTAATTGTTATGGCAAATTTAGTTGGCAAGAAGATCGAAGTCTGTTTTTATTTGCTATTCAGAACTGTGCATTTATTTGAGCATCACGCAACTGCCCACGTATGTTGCTAAATCTACGGCGACAAAGAAAAAGGAAAGGCGGGAGGGAACGAACTGTTGTTTCTTATGAAGTGATTGCCTTAAAATTATTCTTACTGCTTATCCATTATTCTTTGTTATATCTTGTTCTTGCTGTTTAGAGAAAGTGCAGGTTATATATCTGGTTAAAATTGCTATAGACGATCTTTCTTACATGGAGAATCTGGCAAAATTCGGGTGGGAATGAAATTTTAGTCTTTTTCAGAGTAATAGCTCTAAAATTAGCTGCCAAATTGTGCTTTTGTATATTCCTATTTTTATGTTCGATCAGGAAATAAGAGCATGGTGTCCCTGGTCTGTTTCCACAGAAACAGACTGAAATGCTCGAATCAGTTGCTTAAAAACTCAGTGAGTGGTAGAGGAAATTTTGACGTCTTCTGAATGATTACCATTTCTCTTTGTTTATTCTCCTGCTTACCCTTTTGACATATATTTTCTAATATTTTTACGAAATCTCATATTTTTTGCTTTGTGGGAATGATTAGCCCCTGTGTTTATCCTAGTGGCACTTTTTACGCAAATTCCTAAATAAGTACCATTTCAGGACGCACAAATATCATGCAGTAGCGATGCGTCACATCGGCGAGATGAGGCGTTTGATGGCGAAGTCAAACTGGCCATTGGTGAGACGTGGTGCGTTGGACTTGTTGAATGTTTTTGAGATTATTCTCTACGAAAATATAGCCGCTGCGCAACTCATTCTTGCAAGGCCTCTCGACACCATAAACGTTGTAAGTCTACAGCTCTCACAGCTTTCATGCCATATTTACACGCAGCAATAATTTATTGCTGAAAAGCTAATTTAGTACTAAAATCGAACCATACTGTTATGATAGCACAATTTTGCGTGCAATCCAGAATCTTCAGCTATTGCTGTGGCTGAAATAGCGTCATCTACTGCTTGTGACCCGGAACATTCGTTATTTCTGTTTTCTTTTTTCGCCCTGGTTAACCTATTGCATCTCTTTAGCTGCTTATAACTGCACAGCGATCCTCTGCACACTTCTGTGTTGTGATGGTCGTAGACAGGAAATGTTTAAGAAGTGGTGCCCCTTTGCGCAACCATCCTGTCAGGCACATGGGGTGCACAGTCACTTGGAGTCATTCTCTCACAATCGGTTAGAGGTATTTTTTCTCAGTTGCAAACGTAATTGGGAACATAAATTTCATTTTAACAGTTGGGTGCAATGATGGAGAAAATGCGACAAAGCATTGATTTATTCAATCAGTTCGAGGCGCAGCTCCACACACTTCTGGTAAATTTTTG